AGCCCTGGGCCCCCCTGCCCAGCCTCTTCCTCCACAATGGGCAACAGGTAAACACAAGAGCCATGTTGTTTTCTATGAAGATGCTGTATTTAACCATTTCCTCCCCACCGCCACTCCTCCCCCTACCCTACACAGGTCCCTCCCTTAAGGCAGATGGTGTGGAGGTAACATTGAACAAAAGGCACCACGGGGTGGCGGGCAGGGAGGGGAGGCTGGCTCAGGCCTCCCACTGCATGCCCACGATGAGTGGCCCCAGAAAGAACCTGGAACCCCAGTGGCCCACTGCTGCTCTCCCCTCTGCCCCACAGCCCTTAGGGGAGAGCCTGAGCAGGGCAATAAAAAGCCAGAGCACAGCGGCAGGGCAGGATGGCAGCATCAGCCACAGCCTATTAATTTTAAAGTCTTTTCCTTCCTGGTTTCTTAGAGGGACTCAGAGATTCTCTTCAACCAGCAGAGGGTTCTCCACGGCCTCCATTCTCCCATGTGCCAAGCGTACACTCTTGGTGAATGCAGCTCCCAGCGCTGTTGCTGGGATCCCGTCGCACCGCGGAGCGCGGCAGGACGAGCTACCTGGCTCCTGGGCCCTGCCTCACAGCAGGGAACCAGGCGTCACCTCCCTGAATACTGGAGTTCACCATCCAGTGTCCAGTGCACCACTGGTGAATTCAGCAGCAGGGGGAGCAAAACCACGGCCACAAAGGCACCCAGGAATTTAGTGCAAAATAAAGTGTTCCATCTCCTGACACAAAGGGTGGCCCTGGGCTGTGAGGCCAGGGCTCTCCTCCCTGAAATGGCTTCACTTCTCAGTTCCTCCTGGCCCTGCTTCCTTCTCCTTGGGGAAGGAATCCCAGGGTGTTGCGCCACCTCCCCAAACCTGCTCCCTGACCCACCCTGGCCTGGGCGGAGCTTCACCCACAGCCCTTCCTCTTNGCAGGGAGGCTCCAGTCAGAGTGCGCGCCCCAGACGGAGGCACAGGTTTTGGCCTGAAGACCAGTGGCAGCTTCCAGCCTGAGTCATTCTTCCCTGCAGCAGCTACAGGGGAGAAAGGGCTATCCCTGGACCTGGGGCTTTTATTTTTAATTTAAAGATGCACTGTCCAAACACTACTCCCCTCACCCTGAAGTCTTTGTGTCTGAAATCCCACCCTCAAATATCCTTTCTTTTGCCTTTTTTGAAAAACTCTTTCAGATAAAAAATTGGTAGTATCACCATTTTTGTGCATTTGATGTGGGCAAGTCGTTTTGCTAGGAAGACCCCGTGGGAACCCAGGAATATGGAAGATGGTGTCCCTGCAGTAAAGCGGGCAGCCTGCTGAGCCACGCAGGGAGGTCTAAACAAACAGCAGAGCCAGAGTGCCAGTAAGGGTGGGGCATGCCCAGGGAACAGTGAGTAATCAATCTGGTGTGGCCCAGTGGCACCGGCAGGGCCAGCGCTCTGCCTGCTGCCCTGGAGGGAAGAGGCGCAAGACACTGGGCTGGAGAGGTGTGCGCACCTACCACCTCTTAGCAAGGATACAAATGTCCCCTATGGGACTGTTTAACTGTCTTCTTTCATCTCTTTTATCTTTAGATCCTAAACTGCTTGGAGGCAGAGAGCGTGCCTTCAACTTCTGGAAGTAGTAGAACAGGGGTGAAAATTATAGGCTTAGTACATAAAAAATGGGGATTTAAAACTGCTGTGTGACCTCAGACAAATTACTTAGGTTCTCTGAGCCCCAGCTTTTTCAACTATGATAATTGTGCCCTCACCAACTTCACAAGGCTCTTGTGAGGACTAGGTAAGATGACCCACGTCCCACATTTAACTCTGTGCCAGGCACAAGTATGTACTCCGTAAGTGCGAACTTGTCACCCTCAGTGTGCTGAGAGCCTACTGTGTATGCACACAGAGGATTCTGGGATCTGACCGAGGATTAGGGATCTTAGGCACGTAATTAAAGCCAGTTGGCATAGTAGGTCACCCAACTTCATACATCTGAACGAATCACTGTTTCTGGGCTGGGATCCACCTTTTCCCTTTGTGGGAAACCAGGCTTCCAAAGGCGTGGCTCATGGCTATCTCCTTTTCAGATGGGGCCTGGCTTTTCTGGACAGTCAGTCATTTTGAGACCAATAGAAGGGACAACAGACAACTGCTTCTCTGGGCCTATTTTGTCTGTAGCCTTAAGTTTGAGTGGCAAGGAGACTGCCATAGGGCTTTTCTCAGGGTCACAGGAGTGACTCATCGGAGGGCCACTGGTGCCCTTGAGCTGCCTAGGGCACAGTGACTCACCGGGTCTGCCCCTGGGCCTGCCTCTCAGCTGCCTGGCCTCTGCCTCTCCTGAGGGAATGTCCTCAGACGCTGGGGCTCTCCACTCAGAGGAGGGAGCTTCCCCACTCCAAGACCACTCTGTGTTGAAAAGGACCTAACACCCCTAACTTCACAAGTAAGGAGCCCAGTGATGGGAGCAGGCTTGCTCACACATCTAGCTTGGAGCAGAAGCAGGATTTGAACCTGAGTCCACAATGCCTCCTTGGGAGACTTCCCTGGCTGCCACGAATTCCTGCCTCTTGGCCTGCTCCTTCCACATGGGCTCCAGGTCCTAAATACTCTGAGTAGCAGATTCTATGGCTTTTTGGTAAGACAGTTACTTCCTCCTTTGGACTCTTGTTTCCAAGAAAGGGCAAGTGTGATCACTCCGCCGCTGTGGTCCCCACAGACCATAATGTCAATTAACAATGTAAAACTTTGTTTCCTTTTCTGTTAAATGAGGCATTCCTTTCCTATCCAACTCAAGTTTTGTAAAGAAAACTACAGACCAAAAAGATTAAAGGATAAATAATAGTCTGGCGGAACAATGGGGCAACTGTGACTTCCAGGGATGGAATCCACACCAGCCCTGGGAGCTGGGGCTTGGCAAGCCAGCCTGGGTGGCAGGGAAGTCTGAGCTGGAACAAGAAGGAACGGCGAGGGACAGGGAGGAACTAACTAGGCTTGTAGATGTGGAAACTGGGGCCCAAGGTGCCAGCCGAGGCAGCACTGTGCCCGGAAGCCAGGAGTGTGAGCCACCAGCCCCTGTTCTGAGGACGGAAGGGGCCAGGAGCTGGACCAAGGGCCTGTGGGTTTGAGGTGCCCTGGCCCTGCAAGCAGTAGCCTAAGATGCTGCCTGTCAGTGCTGGGAGGGCGCTGGGGCCTGGGGCCTGGGCCAGAGGAGAGAGCAGGAGGGCCTGTGATTCCCCAGTCCCTTGAAATACAAATGACTCATGCTGGGTGGCTCAGCAGACGCCTGCCCAGCCCACATTCTTTGGCCTTTGTTCTCAGCCTGCCAGGGCCTGGCCTTAAAGGACCAGCTCCCTGAGGCAGGGGCCCCCTCCTCTTTTAACCTAACTCCTCGTTGGGGTGCTCCTCGTCTCCGAGCTATGGGTAAAAAGGGTGGGGTCCTGCCGGATATAAGGATTCATCCAGTGGAATCAAGCTATAATGGGGGCTGTCAGGTCATTTTGTCCATCCCTCTGCCTCAGGGACTGACCCACAAGGACCAAGAAAACTTTTTCTGTGCTTTTAAAAAATGCTACTTAAAAGGGAACCCTTTCAAAATAACTTTTTCTAGGGTTTCACAACCATCCCTATCCTGGCCACAAACCCCCACAATTCAGGTTGTACTGGAGGCCCTCCAGAGTACCCGCACCCATCTTGTGATCACTCTACCCCACCCCAGGTCCGGTCCATATTAGTTTGTTGTTGAACTCTCGTTTGACAACTTTGGTGGGTTTTAGGTTTGCCCTATTCAGACCTATAACCCAGGCACCCTGTCCTGGGCCCCAAAAGGTCTGGTTTTCATGCAGATCCTATCTAGTCAGTGGATTCCTCGGGGGAGAAACATGGTTCTGGTGCTGACACAGCCAGGCTGCCCAAAACCCTTCCCTGGGCCCTGTGCGCCACCATGTGGACACCGGCGAGCTGGTGCCTTCAGGAGCCAGGGGGGCGGGCGCCCTGCGGAGATGCCCACAGCCACAGTGGACCCTGAGCAGGCATCCTCAGCTATAAAAGAGGCCTGAATTGGCACAAATCAAAGCAAATGCAGGCCCTACATTAGAGAGGTAAGGTAAGGTCTGCACCCTCGTATGTTCACTGTGAATCACACATCCTCTGAAAAAATGGCTCTTAGATTTACCAACAAAGTCTATCAGCGCTAATAAATTCTACAGATAACATTTTTTGTTGAGAATTTGGAAGTTCCCTGTCCCCAGGCATCTGTCCCAGCCACCTCCCAGCTCCTCAAACACTATTTGGTTGATGCTCAAAACACACCAGTAGAGGTTTGGGTTCAAGGTTTAGTCCATTGTTAATATGTAAATTTTCAGAGAAAGGGTCTCCAGGGAAACTTTCATAGTAATTTCACAGTTTATCAGATCTTGACTGTAGAGCTGAGTTTGGAAGGAAGAGAAGATGCAGAACTTGAAGCTCCTAGCAGGTGGGATAGGCAGGTGAGGGGTGGCTGCAGCCAAGGTGGGAGAATCAGCAGGCAGGGAAGCCCTGGCTCACAGTTGCGCAAGGGAAGAAGCACTTTAAATTGTGGATAGGCTCCACAGACTCTCTCACCTAATGAGTGTATTTTGCACCCAGGACTAACCTTTACTAATGTGCTAGGACTGCAGGTGTAGCCTTGGGGCCTTTCTGCGGTATTGGCCAGCCAGGCCAGCTGGCCACAGACAAGCCCCATGTCTAGAAGGGGCATTTATAACCCTATGAGACATGCCTCATTCTTCCACCCATTCACCCATTCACCCAACCACCTATCCATTCATCCGTCCACCCAGCCGTCCATCCATCCATCCATCCACCCATCTATCCATCCATTCATCCATCTACTTATCCCCCCATCAACCCACCCACCGTCTGTCCCTCCACCCACCCACCCATCCACCCCTCCACCCATTCGTCTATCAAGCCAGCCAGCCAGCCAGCCAGCCAGCCAGCTAGCCACACAACAGATCCTCTTTGGTAATTGCTGGGTCAGCTTCCCTTCCTCCAGGCTGTAACATCTTTCCCAGTTCCCCCTTCCTCTGCCTTCTCACCCCTGCTCTGATTTAGATCCTAAATCAAGACCATAACCTTTCAGGGGGTCTCTCTGCTTCTGAGCCCTCATGGGATAATCCACCCATACGCCACTCCTTAATTACTCTCCCTAAAACATACTCAAGCTCTCCCGAGTGACTGCAGATGGTTTGCAGCATCCGGCCTGAATTTCTGGGCTCAGCCCAGAGGCCCCCACCATATGCCCTGTATCGTGACTCCAGCTTTTAGTTAGTCACTTCTGAGAATAAGAGCTTTGTTTTATATTTCAAAATCAAATCAAACATAGATTGTAAATAAATCCTAGCCAAAAAAACAACAAAAATTAAATCAAGAGCTTTTAACTAGTGCATATTGTGTGCATACATTCACGCACACAGTCATGTCCCCACGGCTTGTGTTTGCAGATGGCATGAGTGTGTCTGAGCCTGCCACTCCAGTGCTCGAGGCCAAGGGGCTGTGTGGGATCAAACAGCTCACAGTCGGTTTGCTAAGCTGTGCACCCTGCCTTGGGGCTGCATCATTCTGTGAGGAGCTGTGCATTTGCTAGTCTACCTAAGCCTCAGAGCTTGTCTTACTATTTTCTGACAAGCTTCCTCTTGGAGGAAAAGAGCAGTCCAAGGACAGGACAGGCCCAGGTAAAATAGTGAATAAAACGAGGAAGGCACATCTTACGAGCAGATGGATGTGTTCAGGTGTGAGGGAAGAGTGACCCGAAATATAAACTACAGCATCACAGCATTTCAGAGTTCAAAGGTCCTTAAGGGTTTCTAGTCCAATCCTATTCTTTCAGGCCATAAAGCTGAGAAGGCTGTTTCTTACCGCTGGTTTCCCACTGTAGCTCTGGGCGAAGGCGGTTCCCAGCTCTGGGCAAGTTCACTATAGATTCAGTGAGACCAAATAATGACAACAGAATGTCGGAGGTAAAAGGAGTTCATACCAAGCTTTATTCTCAGGGCAGAAGGCTGAGCACTGAAGCCCCGTCCTCCTCCGTCTCTGCCCTCCACTCGGCCTCTGCCCCTCTCTCTCCTGCTCTCTTGAGCTCTTCTCTAGGCTCTGCTCTCCTGCGTCCCTCTGTGCTTAGCGTCCAGCAGAACTCCTACAGCAACACCGCCTAACAGCTTATTGCCAACGGGTATGCAAGCACGCAGTAGGCTAAGTATTACCTCATCACACATATACAATGGCTATCAGGTGAGGATCCTGGCCATGGAACTTCCATTTTCCCTACACCCACCTAGTCAGGGGAGAGTTTCAAAACCTCTTTCCAGTCTCTCTCAACTGCTTCCCTTCTGAGGCCTCCTAGGTAAGCCTGTGTTTCTCCCTCACAGCCTGGGAGCCCCAGCAGGAGCCAGCCCGTCAACCTGAACCATTATGCCACCAAGAAGAGCGTGCCAGAGGGCATGCTGGGCATGGCTCTCTTCCTGTCCAACGCCAAGCAGCTGAGAGCGGTGCTGGAGCAGGGGCCATCCTCTCAGTATTACAGCATGCTGGTCACCCTCATCAGCATCTCTCTGCTCCTGCAGGTGGCCACTGGCATCCTCCTTGTGCTCATTGGTGAGGAGCTCAGGCCTGGAGTCAGCCCCAGTGCACCCATGGTGGAGGGGAAGCTCCAAGTGCCTCCTTGTTCCACCCTGCATTTGCACACACTAGCTTCTTAACTATACCCTGACCTGGTGTTAGGTCTCTGCACCTACACGTGGCCTTCAGAGTGAAAGGTGCCCCGTCCTACCTCCTGGTCTCCCATACAGTGGCCGCTCCTAGTACTTGCTGAATGACTGTCCTCACTAACTTTAGCAGAGTTCCTCAACGGCCCTTAGTGAGCATTCATCCCAACTCTGAAAAGACCCAGCCTAAATTCCCAAATCCCAAGTCTATCAATTGCCATGTGGCTGCCCCAGGCTCTCGTCAGTGAGGGAAAAGGCATGTCAGTGCAATGACTACAACTCCCTTGATTCTGCCGCTCAGATGTCTCAGGGGGCCAGCCTGTCTCTGGACTCTAGAGGATGTTGTGAGGAAAGCTGCGAGCTGCGCCCCCTCCCCACTCCTCCACAGCACGACTGAACCTCAATGAGGCAGAAAAGCAGTGGCGACTGAACCAGCTCAGCAATGCTGCTGGCACCCTGGTCTTCATCACCCTTGCCATCAGCACTTTCATTACAGCCTTTGGGGTGCGTAAAACGGGGTTTCTGGCTGCCAGGACCTCAAGGAATCCTCTCTGAGCACAGCCCAGGCCCCAGGTGAGGGCAGATGGGAAGCCCCCAGGTCCACAGGCTCCCCAGGGGCCCATCTCTCATCCCCTAGGGAGTTAGGGTAAGAGAGAGACCTATAGCTCCGGGGCAAGGAGGGGGTCTGGGAGGAGAGCCTGGACTGACTCAGGAAGGGCCCCTGGCTCTGTGAAGGGGACTCGCCTCAGTTCTTAGGCGCGGTTCCCTATGATCCATAATCTGGGACGGGAAGGCACATCACTGGTTGGCAGGAGGCAGGGTGGAGTGTGGGGCTCCTCCCTGATGCTTCCCAGCAGTCCTTGCTACTCCGGGATAGCCTTGGACCAACAGCAAGCCCACCAGGAAGCTTCCTGGAAATGGAGGAGCTCAGGCTCCAGTCCAGACCTACTGAAGCAGCACCTGCTCCCTGCCTCTTCTCTGCTTCCCCTGCAGGGACCCCGCCTGAGATTGTGTCTGCCTCTTTCCTCCCTGCTCTGCTGGGCTGATGGGCACTTTCCATAGTCACTAGGAGAGCCCCTAAAAGCGCTGTGTAGATGTCCTTACTCTCTACCCATAGTGTCTGAATTAGGATGTGATATTTACCCATCTGGGTGAATTCCATCTTGGTCTGGAGTCCTGAGCTCAAACTGGGGTCCTGCCACCACCCCATTCCTTCCCTCTTCCCCGTCCATTCCCTTTGCTCCAGGACTCAGTTTTCCCTTTCTATAAAATGGAATGGCTTCTATCTATAAAGGTTTCTGCAAATCCACTGAGTCAATCTTAATACATCCAGGCTGGTCTCTGACGCCCTCTCCACCTGTGACCCAGAAAGGGCCCAAAGGGGCAAACCCCAAGCCCAGAGGGAGAAAAGGCTTTAATATCACTCCCTCTCCTGGGTCCTGCTCTGAGTCAACTTCCCTGGCCTCACATGCCTTGGGCTAATTACCATCTGTTACATCAATGGCAGATTATCAATTCTGGATAGATGTAAGTATGCACAATCCTTTAGAGCCTATTAAAAATCTATTCTAGCTTTCATATTAGCACCTGCTCTTTGGGCATGTGTACAAAGTAGTTCTGATCTTTTTCTAAGCCAAATACAACTAGGAAGGTAAATCTGCACCCCTAAAGCATCCACAGGGCATTCTCAGGTCAGCAGAAATGATCTTTAGATTGTCTGTTTTAGAATAAGTCACTCCTCTCCACTGTTGACCAAACCATCCTGGCCCTGTGGCTAGCCTTCTTCACCCAGGCTGTCCACCAGCTGTTCTCAATCTCCACATCTGCTGAACAGAAGGTGCCTGGTCTGCTATCAGGTTGTGAGTTCCTCAGACTGGAAACAATGTCAGCCGCTTGGGGAGTAAACTCCAGCACAGAGAAGGCTGTCGTCGACAAAGCAGGCACCAAACTAATGGTTAAAGGGTGTGTGTCGGTCGGTGGGCAGAGGAGGGAAGGAGGCCCTTGGCATTTCCATGAGAGGCCTGACAGCTGAGGGAGGGAGACATGAGCCCTGGGCCCCCCTGCCCAGCCTCTTCCTCCACAATGGGCAACAGGTAAACACAAGAGCCATGTTGTTTTCTATGAAGATGCTGTATTTAACCATTTCCTCCCCACCGCCACTCCTCCCCCTACCCTACACAGGTCCCTCCCTTAAGGCAGATGGTGTGGAGGTAACATTGAACAAAAGGCACCACGGGGTGGCGGGCAGGGAGGGGAGGCTGGCTCAGGCCTCCCACTGCATGCCCACGATGAGTGGCCCCAGAAAGAACCTGGAACCCCAGTGGCCCACTGCTGCTCTCCCCTCTGCCCCACAGCCCTTAGGGGAGAGCCTGAGCAGGGCAATAAAAAGCCAGAGCACAGCGGCAGGGCAGGATGGCAGCATCAGCCACAGCCTATTAATTTTAAAGTCTTTTCCTTCCTGGTTTCTTAGAGGGACTCAGAGATTCTCTTCAACCAGCAGAGGGTTCTCCACGGCCTCCATTCTCCCATGTGCCAAGCGTACACTCTTGGTGAATGCAGCTCCCAGCGCTGTTGCTGGGATCCCGTCGCACCGCGGAGCGCGGCAGGACGAGCTACCTGGCTCCTGGGCCCTGCCTCACAGCAGGGAACCAGGCGTCACCTCCCTGAATACTGGAGTTCACCATCCAGTGTCCAGTGCACCACTGGTGAATTCAGCAGCAGGGGGAGCAAAACCACGGCCACAAAGGCACCCAGGAATTTAGTGCAAAATAAAGTGTTCCATCTCCTGACACAAAGGGTGGCCCTGGGCTGTGAGGCCAGGGCTCTCCTCCCTGAAATGGCTTCACTTCTCAGTTCCTCCTGGCCCTGCTTCCTTCTCCTTGGGGAAGGAATCCCAGGGTGTTGCGCCACCTCCCCAAACCTGCTCCCTGACCCACCCTGGCCTGGGCGGAGCTTCACCCACAGCCCTTCCTCTTCTTCACCTGAGGCGGGGGCTGGCTTCTCCCTGCAGCCCGGGGACGGGGGCGGGGGCCGGGCTGCCGGGACTCAAGCTTCCCACTTCCCTTCCCGTCCCTTCCTGCTGGAAGCCCTCCCACTCCCCCCGCGAAGTTGCGGGCTTCCTTCCATCCACATCGTCTTTCCCCGCTGCTTCCTGTGCTCCCCAAGGCTGTGGTTCGCAGGCGGGCTGGGACCTGGGGCCGGAAAGGGGCTTCGCTTCGCTTCCCTGTCCCCTCCACCTTGCCTGGCCTCACTGCCCAGCAGTTCTCTGTCTCCCTACCTCCTGTGGCAGCAGGAAGACGCCAGCTCTGTGCTTCTGGTCGGGTGAAGTTAGTGCCGCCTGGAGGGTAAGGGAAATGCCCTACTTGGTGGCCAGCTGCTCAGTGGCCACCTGGGTGAGATGTGCGTCTCGGGAAGGCACGAGCCTCCGGTATTGCTGAGAATGCCCACGCGGGGCCAGCTCCTCTGGACCTACATTAGCTGCCCGTTGGAGGACGGGGGACACGCCTCTACACAGGAGGGGGTCTGAGGTATGCATGTGGGGACTCGCCCTACACGCGTGGCTCCATCCCCTCCATAGTCAATGCTGGGTCCGGACAGTTACAGGTTTGTTTTGCTGTTAAAAAAATAAAAACGCCAATAAAGTCTGTCCCCTAGAGTTTCCGGTTGCTAGTCACTACCCCTGTGAGGGGCCTGGGTGGACATCAGGATGGGGCCACTCCAGCAGACCCTCCTTCCCTGCTCCACCTCACTGTGCAACCTTCCCGGAGCTGCTGATCCACTTTCGCGGACAGTGAGTGAGCAGCCCCTCCTGGCCCTGCCCGAAGCCTGCCTGTGGAGGCAGGGAGGGTGCAGGCGCAGCGCCGGGAGCCCGGACACTAGCTCGGAGGCCTCTCGGGGCCAGCCACGGCGTCGCCGCCCTGCTCTCCTCCAGCGGTGAACGGGGCTCTGGGGGGACAACCCCAAGTCAGGGAGCAGGAAGCGGCAGCCCCGTGGGCGCCCTCGGGTTAGGGCACCTTCATCTGCCGGCGGTTCCACATGCCGCGCTTGGAGTGGAAGTGATGGAAGAAGTTCCTCAGGGAGAGCCGCTCCACTTCCAGACCCGCCTGGAGGATCCTGGGGCGGAGGAGGGCAGGGTGAGCAGGGGACAGAGGCCCCTCGGGAGAGCGGGCCCCGGACCCCTCCCGCACGGCCGGCGGGTCTTGCTCCCCTTCGCGTCCTCCCCACGGGGCAGGGGTGGAGGGCGCTGTGCGGAGTTTGGGCCCCGAGCCGGAAGCTCCATGCTGGGTAAGGCGTGTCAAACTCAGGAAGTTTCCGAGCCTCAGTTTCCCAAATCTCCTTCATGATGTAGATGTTGGAGGATGGTGGTAAAGACGAGGGGAATTAGTTTGCACACAGCTCCTGGCGCGCAGCGAACAGGCGGCCGCAGCCCTCATCCTCACACCTGCCCCAGCATCTTCTCTACAGGCACAGCCCACTGGGAGGCCCCTCACGTGTGGGGGGCTTCCTGCTCAAAGCAGTTTCTCTTGGGCCTCAGAGAAGGCAGCATGGGGAGAACCGCCAGGAAGATCTGCACCTCCCCAGCCTGGCCAGAGGATCGAGGGTGAAGTGACCGGGCAGGCTCCCCTCGCTCAGGGTCTGCCAGGATCAGAGCTGGGTTCTCTGGTCCAGACACCCCAGCCTCCATCCTCGGCACCTGAGGTCCCGTAGATACTTTCCCTTCTTCCCTCTAAGGATAAAAACGGATCTGGGTTTTAAGCCTCTGATGCTCAGTAGCTGTGAGATTGGGGCCGGTGGTTAACTTCTCCTGAGACTCAGTTCTCTCCCCGGGACGGGGGCACCAGGGCACCGAGGTTTGGGAGGAGCGAATGCAGCATGCATGAGGTGCCCTGCAGAGCAGAGGCACCAAGATGGGCAGCCGCATGGCACTCCCTCTGGAAAAAGCCTCTACTTCTTCCTTGTCAGGGCAGCCAGTTCCCCAGGGCTCCTGACCTTTCCCTGTCACCCCCTGTGGATACTGTTCCAGAAATTCTACCCTTTCTTTGATTCCCCCCCACTCTCCTTTGCCCCCTCCCCTTGCCTTGGCAGCAAATTTCTTGGAAGAGGAACTGCACAGCAACACAGCCTCCATTTGCTCACTGCCCACGTGTTCCGCAGGCCCCCACACCCTGGGGTGCTGCCCAGCCTGCCTAGCTGCAACACCCTCTTGCCACCCACCTTCCAAGCCGGGCAGTTTGTCCTGTGTTCTCCTCTGAGGCTTTTCAGGCCATTTCCTGCTGCCTGAAACTCTCCTCTCCCTGGGCTTCTGGGGACACAGAACTGTACTATTTTGTTACCCCTCGATGGTCTACGCTGTCTCTTTGGCTGGCCCCAGAATTTCCCCTGACCCTTTGCCTGTCTCTCTTGTCCATTCCCAGAGCCGGGTTCAGGGAGAATGCAATCATATTCACCCACAGCTCCCATTGCTGCTGAGAATGGTACTGTTTATATTTATGCAGCTCAGTTTTGCCTTCCCCCTCACAGTTTACCAAGCATTTTCATTTCCATACCAGCCCTGTGACATGAGCAGAGGCAGCACTGTCACCCTCTGTGCTTCAGACACAGAACTGAGTCTCAGCAAGGGAAGTGGTTTGACCCTAAGTAATGCAGGTTCCTCAGAGTACGTGCTCTCTACCTGCGTGTCTGCAGCCCAGGGGGCTGGGCCTCAGTTGATCCAGCCCTGTTGCCTCCCCAGAGCACCTGATAGATGGAACCCCAGCAGCATATGCCTCCTTCCCAGTCACCTGTCTAGCAGCTCCCAGTCTTCCCCACCCCAGCGGTCTCGGAATTCCTTGGTGTTCATGCCCCCGATCCTGTCCAGGTCTGACTTGTAGATGCCAAGCAGTCCAAATCCATTCACCTCCCAGTAGCCTGTGGACAGAAAAGAAGCTCTGGGTGAGAACAGTGGGTGCCAGGAGGTAAGAATGAAGAATGTGGGCCGCCTTACTACAGCCTTTTCTGAAAGCCGGAGGATGGGGGCAGCTGAGGCTGGAAAGTCCTTCATCTGAACAAGGCCTTGCCTGTTTTGGGGTCAAACTGCCTAGGCTAAGGCACATGGAAATCACAGTCCTACCAGGGTGTGGCCAAGGGCTGACGCCAGCCCCATGGAGGATCTGAGAGCAGTAGGCACTGAAGGCCAGCCGAGTGCTTGTGCCCCTGTCCCATTTCCCTCTCCAGGGCAGAGATCCTGTCTCTCCACCTTTGCACCCACACAGGGCACAGAGTCTGGCACACAGTGAGGGCCTGATGATGAAGAAGGCAGAGGGGAGTGGGGAAGTTCGCAGTCGCTGCAGCCCTGGCACCTCTCCGCGTGCACAGAGGCAGGAGGGAGGGGCTGGTGGGCAGCCCTTTGATGGGACAGTTTCCAGCCCTGGGGTTAGGAACCTAGGCCACAGGGCTCTTTCCTACCCTCCCTAGCCCACGGCAGGGCTCACCCTCGGGCCACTGGGGGGTGGCCCCGCAATGCAGCCTCATCACCATGGGCGCAAAAGTCATCTTGCCCTCCACACAGTGCTTCCGGACAGTATCGATGACCCCAGCTGGGAAGTGGATGTGGAGGTCACAGAGGAAGATGATGCTGTGAGGGTCCTGGGGGCAGAGGTGGGAGGGTCAGCGGGCCACAGGCTGCGGCCAGGAGGCTGGGGCACTGTACAGGACAGTCCTCAAGCTCTTTCCCATTTGAGTGACTGACAGACTTCCACCAAACAGCTGAGCAACTTCCAGAGGGCTGGGCCGCAGAACGCAGTTCTCACTGTCAGAGCGGCTCCTGACTCCTCCCCTGCACTCTGTGGGCTCTGAGGACTCTGGACAGCGCTCTGCCAGTGTCTGT